TTTTTGTGGCAGCTTTTTTTCTCTCTCTCTCTTTTCAGTTTCTGTGTGTGTGTGTGTGTGTGTGTGTTACTCGAGTGACTTTTTGAACACAAGCAAATACAGAAACCCAAAGAATATCAAATAGACAATAACACAAGAACATACGCATGTGCGCACCCTTTGGATGGTGATGACTGATTCCCAGTAGTGGTGTCTTGGCCATGGGGGGCTTTGGGCCGGGTTAGGCTGGTTTACTGATTTTGACAGCGTGGCCTTGTCTGGCCTAGTGCCAGTGTTGAGCTAGCTCTCGCTGGCTGCTCTGGCCTCCTATAAATCAAGGCCAATTACCACGCTAGTGTGCAGCCTCCTCTCCTCCAGTCACAGCCCTGCCCTGCGGAGTGCAGGGAGGAAGGGAGAAAGACAGGGATGGCATAAGCCTGCTTTTATTCCAATTACAGCTGTGGCTGCCCTCTGCTCTGTTCTCTATGTGTAGTCACAAAGAAGGTTTTCACACTTTTTTGATAGAAGTAACAAGCCACTTTATCTGAACACGTAATCACCTCTAAAATCGGGACAGCCAGCAATCCAGGTGCTATCTAAAAAGGTAGCTTGTCATAGACTTTACATCACAATTTAAAAAAAAAGTAAATGTTCTGTTTTAATCCTTATTCTTTAAATCTGAAGTGCATGTTTAATTTAACCTTGTACTTTATAAAGTTATTGTCTTAATTCCCTCCACTGAAAACCATTTATCTTCATTTTTTTATTTTAGAAATTAAGTGAAAGATTAAGTGTTCCCTTATGGGTTGGTAAATTCACAAAGTGGTAAAGTTTTATAAAATATTTTAAGAAGTCAGAATTTAAGCATTGTGTAAGCTCACTGGTTTTCACCGTCTCTCACGGTGTTTGTTAAACACTACACAAACATGCATGTGACGCAGTGACCAAAGCAGGTTTAAGCCTTTTATAAGTCTAGCAGTGGTTTTAAAAAAAAGCATATAGCTGTGGTTTAGGGGAAAAAATGCATTGTCCTTGTGTGGGTGTGTAAATATACATCACAACGCCATGCGCCTTCAGCCTATGTAACGTAGGCTAGATTTATCATCCTCACTTAATACACTCATAAACATTCCCTGGCGTGTCACAGAGGCTGTGAGCCCCCCTTCACGACTGGCTCGGTAAATTGGGCCTGTGTAAACCATTTTGCCTGTCTAAAATACAGTGCAGCAAATTGAAATCCCAAGTAAGCCTCTGTAGCGGCATGTCACACCTGGGTAGGGAGGAGGCAGAACGGAGGTTTTTCTCATTTACCACCTGGAGGTTTTTGAAGTGTCATAACCAGCAGTTTTCTCACACCCTTCTATTTCACTCTAATTCTTTCTACCTTGCTTTATTTTTTATTTTTCCCATCCTTTTATTTTTCCCATCCTTTTTTTTATTCCCGTGAGTCTTCTGTTCCCTCCCCTTTTTGGTAAATTACTCTTTGCCAAGTGCTATACTCAGTCCTCATCATTCTGACACATGAGGCTAGTATTTAATATATTTGAGAAGCCTGATCTGGCAGGCTGACAGACCAAGGGTAAACAGGAGTCATGAAACTGTCCGGCAAGAAAAACAAGCCTGGATATTAACCTCTAGTGCAGCGACCAGCAGAAGCAAAGAGGGAAATGGATATAAAACAAAGAGTTTGAAACATTTGGTGCTCTGTGTGTGTGTGGGTGTCTGTGCTGCAGAGAAAACCAGTTGTGTCCAGGATTGTCTTGGATCCATTGCATTTAAAAGTTCACATACTGCCCCAAGATTAAACAGAAATCTTACTTAAATTACATATATGGCTCCTACACAGCACAGCAAGCTGATATTAGGATCGTCTTCATAGAAGAATGATGGAGTTACTTGAGTAATGATTAGATTTGAGGAGCTCTCGCGGAGCTTTTTCCATTTCGTTTTTACCCAAAATATCTAAACTTGTACCACATTCTTCCAGATATAAAATAAAAGTAGTATTTTTAAAAATGTGCCATTAAATTCACCCTGACCCACCCCCAACCGCATAGTCAACCATTCCTTTGAGGCCTTTAGCACAGACTGCGTTCTTCATCCCAGGGGATTCCTAGTGGATACCTTTGCATGCTGCCTTTTAATCCATCCCTGTAAGTATTAGACTGGTTTTGACCCTCCATGCCTCACTGTGTAAGATTTCAGCTTCTGACCTTAAAAAGAAAAATGAAAGCAAATCGATAGGGCGGGACACATGAATTCCAAAGAGTAAGCATGGAAGCCAAGCCTGGAGCCCGAGAAGGACAGTCAGGGCTGTGTGTGTCACCATGGGGGCTAACAAAGAAGTGGGGGGAGAGAAAGCCTGAGAAAGCGAGAGAGGGGCTATTAATTAAAACTGAACGCTGAAAGAGGTTCTGTCTAGTGTCTCTCGTTTGTGCTGCGAATTTGTTGGAGTCACACAGTGTGGTAATTACCATGTGTGTATTTTAAACTGCAGCGGACTAAGAGAAAAATCTAACGAGTGGACGGGGGGGACCTAAGGTGAAAGCCTCAAAGTCAAGGCTTGGACTGCAGCTGTGCATTTGAGTGAGAAAAAACAAGTCCCACAGGGCACTCGAGAGATTAAGATTCTTCTATACTGCCACAGCGTGGAAACTTGAATGACTGGAGACTAGTTTGGCTTTTTTCATTCAAGCCCATGCAACCAAGGCTACCAGATGGGCAAGGTGGGGGGCGGGATGGGGGAAGTTTAGGGAAATTTGTGTCTGTGGTGATCGGACCTGTGTGCTTGAAAGTTGGATTTAAATTTCAAACTTCTTTCAACTTGGACGTCGACTCCCTAAATGTACAAAGTCATTCTGATGGGCATCATTCGTAGACCTAAAACAGTAGTTGTTTTCACTTTAATATTCAAGCTTTAATATTAAAGCTTTAATATTAACGCGCTGTGGATGACTGTTCTGAAAAAGGTTGTTTCTGTGTTATCATGTGGCGCATAGGTGTGTCTGTGAGTGTGAGCGTATGCACAACGGCCGACATGTGTACAGTGTGGGTGAGTCCAGCACAGTGAGTGGCTGCCCATCAGTTCCACTAAGCTCAGCGTGGTAATTGGCCGTCTATTGATGGACGTGGCTCCCTCTTCACGCTCCAGGGACCCCGGCTCTTTGTCTGAGGAGTGGGAGGCGACACGCTGGCATGGCACACACGCTTAAAATAGCACATCAAATCAGCCATGCTCCGCCAGTCGCTGCTAACGTGTGGGGCAGATTGGAGGGCTAATGGCGTGTGTGTGTGTCTGTGTGCGTGTAGGTGTATGTGCATGGATATGTGGGGGGGTTTTACAGCATGGTATGAGGGCTTGAGCTTCTCTCTAGGGAAGATAAGGGTTAACGTGGTTAACTGGAGCTGGTGGTGGTATTTAGTCATGTCCCCCTCTTTCCCTGACCATTTTTCTCTCCTCCCTTTCATTCATCACTCACTCACTTTATTGCAGTGTGGTTTCTTTCGCTCTTCTTCCGTCTCACTTCCTTCCTCGCTCTCTTTTAGTGTTTCTCCCTCGCTTTTTGTCTCTGTGTCTCTGTTCATGCCCGCAGGGCCCCGGCTCTCTCTCTGTCACTATGTGCAGTGTCCCTGCAATAGAGATATAAATGGGCTGTGAGCGGGGGGCCCTGACTCCTATACCATAAATCTATGCTAACAGCACAACAAGCACGTAAGGAAAGCAGGAGATGGGAAAGGCAAGGAGAAAAAAACAAATGGAGGGGTTGGGGCATCATAATTCTAATACATTTTGAATACATTTTGTGAGATGGAGATTAAACTGAAAATTTCATTCATATTGAGATGCTTATAAAATAGGCTGTACTGGATTATTGCATCAGGATCTCACACCCTCTGAGGTGTAAATTGTTTCGCAGTGTAATGAAATTGGTTTTGAGGGTATTAGTAGAAAGCAGGAAGTTGCCATCATTTAAAACTGTTCATAAGCTGCTAGGAGCCTCGTGAACTCTAATATCAGAGAGTCACCTTGGTGAAATGTTTATTTAAGATGCAAAATGAAGAAATGTTTGTCCCCTCGACTCCAGTTGCATATGCGCAAAAAGCCCAGAAAGTTACAAAACCAGATATAATCTATTGCTTTATTAAGCAGGAAGGTGACAAAAGTTTGAAAGAAGCGAAGCACTTTTCCTGTCATTGTGTAGACCTTTTTATTTCTCTACGTGAAGATGTTTTCCTCGCAGTATTATTATTTGAGGCTAAGGTTGCTTTCTTGAAACTTTTACTTGCTGGGTTTTCATCTCGTAGTGACCCTGCTCGCTTCTCCTCGCCGCTTCACAGCTGCCCCAAAATGTCTCGTCTCGCGATTGCGGGGACATTGTGCTGGCAGTGCCTGCTGTTTCTTCAAATGAAACATTTTGAACTCTCTCTCTCACATTTTCTGCTCCTGTCTAAGAAATGTTTTCACACCTCACTTCTCATTGTCTTTTAAAGCTGCTGTAAACATCAGAACAGTAGGATTACGGCTGGATGATGTGTCAAAATTTTCCAGTCGCCCACCCTCAGTCCAACAACCAATGATCACACACGCATTTTTAAAAAAAAACAATCCCCTGCTGAAAAAAGAGAAACTTTGCTGTGTGGTTGTTTATATTCATTGGTTTTTACTGGCAACAGCTGAACACCTTGAAATGCATTTTGCCATCTCTCTTTAATAATGACATGCAGGAGGTCACTCTCTTAGTTTCTTTATAAATTTTGGGGAGGCCAGAAGTTTCAAAGAGAGGGACTCACACACAGTAACATGAATACGGATCCATACCAGCTGCTAAAATGAGAACCAGAGAAGCTTTGACAGAGACATTCCCCACTAAGGCTGCCATCACTTCCCCATTCCTTTAAGCAAATACGCCATATTCTTGTTCATAATCATGCTCTGAGAATCTTTAAATGCTTTGACTCTGCCTGCTGTCTTAAAATGAAACCTTGTATTGACTTGCTTTCTCTTTACCTTCTCTTTCCAGCAGCCCTATGCTCCACCCCCTCATCCCATGGCTCCTCCCAGCCCCAGCACCAACAGCTGCAGCCAGGGAGGGGCGGAGCAGCTGAGTAAGACCAACCTGTACATTCGAGGCCTGCCACCTGGGACCACCGACCAGGATCTCATCAAACTCTGCCAACCGTGAGTACTGGGAACGATCGTCATTAAATACAATGGTTATACTGTAATTCTTGCCAATAGTATAAATATTTCTTTCATTTACATAATTGTGTGCCGCTCGTGGCCACGCTGTGCTTGTCAAGCATTTATCAGAACAGGTGTACGTTATAGATACACATATGTATCCTTCGATTTTTTACCATATGCGCCATTTATGAAAACAAAACAAAGACAAAACATACCCCAGTACAAACTGGTGATTTTTGTCTTTTTTATTTTGTTGGAGTCCTGCAAATAAAACTAAGCACACATTTACTGTGTCCATAGGAATTAAGAGGCTTAGCAGCAGCGGCCACCTCTGTAAGAGCAGTAGTTTTGGCAGTTTGCTGGTCTGGAGCATTTAGGTGCATCAAAACATCACACCAACTGTCAAGAACGGTGATTGAGAAATAATGCTTTGGTGTTGTTCTGTAACTACAGGACCTGGGCACCATGAGTTGACCATGAACTCCTCTGTACACCAAAATATTCTTGATTCAAATACGAGGCCATTTGTCTGGCAGCTAAATCTCGTCCCAAATTTAATCATTCATCAGAACAATGATCCCAAACACTGCAGCAAATCTAAAATAAAATGCTAAAAATGGCTCCGACCTTGAGGTCCAAGTCCAGACCTCAACCTGATTGAAATGCTGTGGTTGGACCTTAAGAGAGCTGTACATGAGCAACCGTGGGAATCTGATGATGTTAAACAGAAAACGATTTCTTCAAGATATTACTGCTAAAGATGATTCTACAAGCTAGTGAATCACAGCGTGCGTTTAGTTTTGTCAATATCCCAGTTGAAACTGTCATCTTTTAAAAAGATATAATACAACATAAACACGTATAGGTATCCTGAAGAGAATTTATACTAGCTGCAAATCCCAGACATACACCATTAGAACATTGTACTAATGGCTAGCTACCAGTTATAGTTAACCCGCCTAGAATACAGGTAATTTTTACTGTGTTTGCTGGATAATCACTCACCTGTTTAACTAGATTAAAAAAATGTCTGTTTCCTCTTTTTAATGAAAAAAATATGCATGGCGTCTGTGCTTTCAAGGACCTAATAAAGATTCCGTATCTATGTTTCTCTGTATTTGAAAAAAATATTGTGAGATATTCAAGGTAGAATGCAGGCCACAACTCGATTATTTGTCATGTAGCAATAAATCCGATCTGTATTCTACATACAGCAAACGGTGTCTTTTTTCACAGGATGACACATGCTTAGACCCAAGCATAGCTGGTTGAGAAGCATAGCTGTGCCTGTGTACACAAATGATGCAATCAAACCAAAAAAAATCACCTCTAAGAAGAAAATTACAGGCTTGAAATCGGGTCCATGCACACCCCATTAAACTGCAACCAACTCGGTGTCTTTTGGTGTCACACACACATACACACACACACACGCACGCACGCACACACACAAAGGTACTCATAAAGCTCTGCCAAATGTTCTTGATAGAGGAAACACACAGACACACACACCTGCTTTCACACAGCTCAATAAGGCCTAATAAAGCCTAGATTGGACCACCTCCCCAAGGAATCACAGACCAAGACCTCATCAAGCTGTAACACACAGCCACACAGGCTTTCTTTTTCTCTGTCTCACACAGTCACAGACACACACACACACACACACACACATAGACACACACAAGCAGCTTTGTTCAGCTTCATTAAACCCTTTTCACTTCTGAAATGGTGAAAAGGGGGTCAAGATCATTAATGGAGACAAGGCCGGCAGATTGTGAAATACAGGCCATGAGCGAGTCTGTCTGGTTGCATAACCTTTTCTTGGACATATTTTCAGAAATGTCCTGGTCAAACTTGGCCAATTATTCAATGATCCTTTGGAGAAAGGAACATGCTGTCCAGTGTGTTTGGTAATCTTCCCAGCAGCCATGTCATAAGTCATGCATTTATTCTTGAAACTGACCCATCGAGATTCCATTAGGCTGAGAGGCGGCCCGATAAGATTTGGAAAAGCACTCAGCATTTTGACATTGGATATCTCCTGCTTTAGCTCTTGCATTCACCCAGTTGTACAGAGTTGGAGAGCTTCAATTTCATTTCTAATTCCATGTGATCTTGAATATTTTGAGCATAACTGTTTGGAAGGGCAAACCATGTCGGAGCTTATGTAAAATACCCAGGGAGCGTGCATGTTTGTGAATGTAGATTTGCATTCTAATATATAGCTTTTCTCCACTGTGTTATGAAAATCCACTGACTTTTTGTTACAGCTCGGATCTGCCGTGCTGTCCTCTAGTGGCTGTCCTTTCTTTAAATGCATTTACTCTGCTACCTTCTGCCTCTTTTCTTACATCTACCGTCTTTCCCACTTTGTGTATCGCCTGCCTAGAAGCCCCCAAGGTTGCCCGGGGTGTGCTGTGCCAGTGAAAATTCAATGCCACTGAAACTTTAATTAGCCAGACTGTGTTTCAGTGGCAGGCGGGTGGCAGCATTGTAGAAACGGTCATGCGACTCTTCTGCAGTCTGCGGCACCCTGGGTTCCCCTCAGGTTTTATTCCCCCCCACATGCCCAGTCCCCCTTCAGCACAAAACACCTCCTTTCCTGGCCGTCGGCCCCATCAGCTCTCCCGGGGAGCCTCTGTGTTAAACATAAATGCTCGCTAAATTTGGCACTGTACGTTTAGGAGAGTAAACTGTGGGTGACTTTCAGTAATGTTAGCCGGCCTAACTGTCGTGCTCTTATGTGTGTACACGGCATCCTGTATCGACCCTCGTGAGTGCTGGAAGTGAGACGGGTCAAAGATGATTTTTAGGTCGGCGTTTGTAGCATCGCACACAAAGCAGCTCTTCCCACCCTGGTTCACATCTAGCTCAGAAGCAAACACGCTGCCGCCAAAGTGATGCATTCTTGACACCGAGCCATATCGTAGCTGCTGATTGGAGGCTGCTGAATGCGCCTGAGAGATGCCAGAAAAATAAATGCCTTGTGGTTTTTTACCCCATTCTTGTGAACTCTAATATTTTATTACCAAGATCCTGTCTTTGAGAGCCAGTAACCTTCATCAAGTTCTCTCTCCCAAAATTATGTTCTCATTTAAAATGCAAAACACAGAGGGATTTAATTTTGTGATTTGCACAAATATATAGAGTCATATAATATTCATATTTCCAAACTGTTTAATTTACTGATTGCTGATTTAAAGACATAACTCTATCTTTGAAGACAACACTGTGAATTACAATATTGCAGAATGACTGTTATCTATGCAGTAAAAACCTATAGTGTGCAAAATGAGGGTTTGTGCATTCAGCAGCAGCGACATGCTTTCTCTATATAGTGACAGCATTGGATCGTTGTTGGTGCCATTTGTAGTTCTGTTTGGTGATACTGGCATTCAAATGGTGACTGTACTCACCAGTGTGTTTATGCAGATGATTAGAGACGGGTACAGATATGATATGATTTCCTTGTTCTTGTGCTCTAAAAACCAAGACTGAAATTGCAGAGACACAAGTATACAGTTAAAAACAACTGAGGATGCAGTTACTGCAGATGCTGAAGCCAACATTTCTTTTCGTTCAGCTACCTCGTTCAACCTTTTTTGTTCCTTGGAGTAAGAATACCAAAGTTCGCACAACGGTTGGAGTTACATGCTGTTAGATTCGGGTGGGTGCCTAATCTTTTTTATTCAGCTGGCTCGGTGTTGGGTCCTCCACAGCCGTCAGCCTAATATATGGGTGTAGGGAAGAGGCCAAAGGAGCGGAGTGGGGATTTGTTGGCTGAACACTCTGATAGTGAGAGGCCTTCCTTTTTTTGCCTGGCTAGCAGAGTGGATGGATAGATGGATGATGAAACTCAGAGAAGGAATAGCTGTTATTGTGAGAAAAATTCTTTGGCCTAGCCACCAATGTTGAGGCAGTAGGCCAACCATAAGCCCAATACCAACCAACCCAACCAACAAAGCAAGCGCATACCCCCCCAAATCACTTTGGGGTAAACCCGTTTAACCAGCATCCACATTTTTCTTGTTTGTGCTCTCCACCCCGGGCGATGATTAGAAATAGAGGAAGGAGGTAGCTGAAAGAAAGGAATTTCTTCATGAGGTTCTACACCTGGAATAACAAGTAGAAAACTGGAGGTATTTTACCTGCCAGCCAAACCCTTGAAAACTGTTTTTCCTTGTTTCTTGTCCCCTTTTCTTCCCCTATTTCTCATTTCGGTTCTCCTCACTCAATTTCAGTCCTGGCCGAACAGCTGTGCCCTCAGTTGCAGTGGGTTTCGCATCCGTGGACTGGCCTGATCTCACAAATAGTCAGCCAAATCAAGAGCTAATCACCACCAATTGCTCAAATAACCTTTCTCGTGTGTGCTGAGGGAATGGTGGAGGGAGACCTAGAGAGGGGAAATGGAGGGAGAGAGGCATGAGATATGCTAAGCACAGGAGGTGAGGGGGAGAGAAGGGAGGGGTGACCCTGGGACCACCTGTTTTTTATGGAGCAGAGACTCAGGCACTCAGTGCCACATTATCCAAAATGACTCTCTGAGGTCCAGTGTTGACATTAGCTGCTTAGCCATCAGAGCTTGCCTGTCCCATGGCTCCATTTCAAAAAACTGACAGAGGGGAGAATAAGTGTGACCAAGGGCTCTGCAGTCCAGCTTCAAAGTCTCAAATTTACCATCACGTCACCCACAGTACATCTGCATTTAAGCCAGAGAAAAACACTGGCAGATAATATCTTGTTTTTTTATGTTAGGCCAATGAGTAGCAGGAATTTGCATTACAAAAAGAAACTCAAGCATCAAACAACATGGATAGCATTTCAAGGTATGTTGTCACTAGGTTTTATGGACTCTAAAATGTCTATATTTGTATCTGTCTCCTTAATAGTCTGTCTTCTTAATTCATTTTTCCCCCTTGAATTGTAAGTGTCTCTTTTCACTTTTCCACCTATCCACCTGCCTCAACTCCTGCCCCTCTTCTGCTCTGTCT